TTTTTTTTTTTTTTTTTTTTTTTTATTGTAAGTAAATTACAGTATATATCTTGCTTTGTAAAGACCCTGACACACATGCAGCCCTCTGCCCACGCACACATTTGTATAGGTTAAATTCAAGCAGTTCCAGGTGCTGAGAGGTTTTGCGCTGGACATGCCGCTCCGAGGAGAGATGTTTCTCTGCTGTTACTTCACCTATTGATTTCTTTCTGTACAGAACACACCAACGCTGAGAATAAATAACTTCCCCATCGCCTAAGCAAGGAGATTTTATTATTTTCTTCACTCTCCTTTTTTTTTTTCTTCCTTTTTAATATGGATACCATTCGCAAAAATCCTCTCCTTACAGTAAAAGTCTCAGGCTTTCCTTAAATGAAATCAGGTGGTGGGGGGCAGGAAATAAAGCATCTCCTGATTTCTGGTAGATGCTTCTGAGTAGCAAACAGCCTCCAGATCGCAGGTTCTCCATGGGGTTAGGTGGAATAGGGTGGAGGAAGGAGGTTCCCTGGCCAGCATGGTGTCTGGTGGGGAGCACCCTGTGCCTGCACCGCACAAGCCAGGCAGGATGGGACCAGCCCCTGCTCACACCACGTCGGGGTCCCCACTGCTGATACCTATCCCCATATAGGGACTTTGTTCTGAATAAGGAAAAGCAAAAAGCCCAACAGGCTCTAGGGGAAGGAGAGCGGTGGGGTTTGTTGCTTTCTCCCGTCTTTTTGGCTCCATATTTCAGATCCCAAGTGAGAAGGGCACTGGTGGTCTCTGCAAGTTAAGCCCCTGATGACTTTGCAGGGGTTTGGATGTGGCAGTGGAGGAGATAGGGAAAAGATTGCTTTTGGAAAGTCAGGGCTGGGGGTGTGTGCACGTGGATGTGTATGAGAGGGAGCAAGAGTGCACGGGAAGGAAAACACACCTGCATGCAAAGTCAAGTAACTGTAAAAATTATGCTACCTGTTTTCTGTTAACATCTGAGCATGTTCTGCTTTTTCATGTAAACCTTGCACACACTGGCTCTCATCTACAGTTTGTACTTTTTGTTTTGTTTAGGAATCAGGAAGTTTTCTTTTGTGTTTTTCTTTTTTTTTTGGAAAAGCTGAGCTGCATAAAGTTGGAATAAATTAAATGGGATGCCAGAAAACTGTCATCTTCCCCCTCCCCATTCCCCTCTGTTCATAGGACACGTTTCCTGATGCATCACATGCAAATTTGGGCCTCCTTAGCTTTTGTCCTGGGGCTATTGTAGACACCGGACCTGACAAGCGGCAACAAGAGTTGGGCCTTTCATCATTACTAGTCTCAGTTGTATGAGCAAGGAGGAACTGATGTTGCTCGCATTCCTGCTCCACACATGGTACCTTGTGAGTCTGCAAAACACAACTGTGCCCTTGAGTCCTCTTGAGTCGATGTCTGGCCAGCACGTGTGCAGGGACCATCTCCCCACCTGACAGCAGCTAGATTTGCTGGAAAAGGGTGGCTGTGTCCTGCTTCACTGGGTGGAGAGGAGGGCAGTGTGAATGCCCTGTCGGGTGTGATGCTTGTGGAGCTCCCTGAACTGCCAAGAGGCTGCATGAGAGCAGTGGATTCCTGCTCCTTGAGTAGGGAAGCACCTTTTCAAGGGACGGTCTCTCCTACTCAGTGCAGGGACCTCGGCAGATGCTTGGGCAAAGGCTATAAGAAGGGAGGTCTGTTCTTTCCAGCTTCCCAACCTTGGTATTTCAGGGTTTTCTTGAGTTGGCAATTGCATCCAGCCATGCTGTTCATTAGCCGGCAGATGGACCTGTTCTCCATGAATCATCCCAGCTCCTTTAAGCATCTCGCTATGGTTTTGGTCTCCTCTGCACCCCGTGCAAAGAGTCCTCAGCTGAGCAGGGCATCGCAGGGAGAAACTTTCTGTGGGTTTCCATGGAGGACCCTCCAGGGGCTCTGCCCTTTGCTTGCTCAAGGAGAGCAAAATTTAAGCCAGCTGAAAAGCCAGTCTTAGTGTTTCTGTGTGAAGTCTTTACCCAGAACAGGCTGCTGGGAAGATGCAGCGAGGCCTGGGCTGTGTGTGGGATTGGAGCTTGGCTGAGCTGCTCCACTCGTGGGGCCATGGAGACATGTCCCTTGAAGGTCCCGTGCCCTCTTGCAGGGTGAGAGGTGCTGCCTAAGGGAGTGTGACAGCACAGCTCAGTGTTTGGGGCACCACAGAGAGGATAATAAGGATAATAATAATAAAATACCCACGCTGTATTCAATTAAAAATGCAGCACTGAGGGAGAAGCCCTGTGTGGCCCCGACCACCAGCATCCAGGTGGCTGTGGTTTGCCTTTGGCCTCCCCATAGAAAGGCAAAACCACTGGGCTGTTTCCTCATCTGTTCTTTCCTACCCCATGCCAGGATGTTGAGTGGGACCAGTCAGTGTGTGTCGAGGGGCTGGGCACTGGTGGGGGAGCACCAGGAAAATGTATGGGGACGGGAGGCAGCGAGCACATGGGGCTGCAGGGGATGGGGGCAGGACAGGCAGGATGGAGGATGGGATGTGAGCTGGAGAATAAGGGAACAGGAGCAAAATTAACATTCAGTAGTATCCTGTTTTGTGCCTTTGGGGGGCACCTGAAAGCAGCTCAGAAGCTGCTGCAGAGGGTATGCCAGTAGTACTGTGGGGCACGAGGCTGCCACAAGCCAGGTGTTGCCCAGGGAGGGCTAGGGGTGGCAGACGTGCCTGAGCCCAGCACCCAGCCATGCCTGGGGCCACCTTCCAGTTCAAGGGCTGAAGGTGGCCTTTGCACCTGAGTCAAGAGCCTGAGTGCGACAGGAGCCCTCAGCCCAGCAAAGGGGACTTGCAGATGGCCAGGCGCCTTGCAGAGGGGCAGAGGGATAGCAGTAAGGCAAGGGGAGCAAAGAGCTTCTGGTTAAGTTTCCCCAGGGTTGCAGCATAGCCTCGGAGGCTGCATGTGTGCGTGCACGGGTGTCACTGCTTGGATCCTGGCCCTGCAGTTTCATCTGGGCTGCCTCTGTGCCTCCTGTCCTCTGGGTAATCAGGTGTGCAGCTGGGCATTGGGACATGACCAGCAGCATGTGGAGTACTAGCCAAAACCCCAGCAGCTCTGGCGTACACACGCAAAGCTATCCATGCTGGCAAACTACACTTTTAGTATAGCATAAAAATTATACACTAGTATAAGTAATAATATTTAAGATAAATAATATAATTAGTATATGACTGTGTGGCTGTATCTATGTACGGCTATAGCTATCTATATAGAATCATCATAGAATTGTTTAGATTGGAAGGGACCTTAAAGACCATCTAGTTCCAACTCCCCTGCCACCGGCAG